TGTGGATAAAGCCTGAATCTGTATAGATCGTTTTTCCAACGGAGTCCATCTTCCTCGCCCTCAAAGCTGTCTCGTGCCCACCATGGCTCGTGATATTCGCCATCCACACGCAAAGTACCGGATTTTTTTCCAGTTCGCCGCAGAAGCGCAGTTTTCGCCCATAATCCGTTCCTTGATTCGAACTAAGCGGGATCGAACTATCGACCGTTAATCCAACGTAAAGCCGGTTTCGCCCATGTAAACGCACCTCGGCGAGAGTTTAACGTCGCATGATCCGTTCCGATCTTAATTCGAATTACCCTCGGCTGCCCATGTAAACCGGGTAACTGTCTTGTCTAGGTGAACAAAATTCCTCGCAAACGCACTTAACAACTTAAATATACTCTTCGATATGACATTGTTGGTACATCATGATGCAACATCGCACCTTGGATAACATAGAGAGCCAATCGACGGCTATTATATCTTGTAATTTCGCACACGAACGCCTGATATGAACGACTCTGCCATTACATCTTTATTGACCTGAATCATCGTACGACTTATGGAGAAGCAGGGTTCGGTGAACTTTATTATGACGTCACAAATGCCAAGGTGATCTTGAAAAACTCTCCCCGAAAAAGGCCGCTTACATCTGCGGCATGCAGTTCAGAAACTAGAGGGCGTCAGGCCTCAAGATGAGCGGGGCTGTTAACTACACAGGCTGATCTTCAAGATGGCTACTTCAGTTCAAAACCCCGAAGAAATATGGAATATTACGTACTTTTGAGCGAACTGTGCTTGTGGAATTTGCCTCACTGTGAGGTGACTTAAGTGACGGAACGTAAAAAGAAAAAAACTGCAACAATGATCGCTGTAGCAAAAATCACATTTACACGTTCAGTCTTAACTATTTTCCAGACACATTGGACCATATGGTTACCGATTTTGACGAGCCAGGTCTCCATCTAAAACTGAGGGTCCAAACAGCCTCTGCAAATGATCAGACAACTTCGGTGGGGTTCATGCGAAGGCCCAAGAGTGGGACAAACTTCCTCTTTTTTAAACTTTATAGACCATTTAAGCCGACATCATTTTTGGCATTTTCGTATTACATATCTGACGACCAGAAAAGCACCCCTGCAAGACACCTCATATTCGTGGCGAAAGCAGAATCTTGAGGATACACGATGCACTCATTTTTCATACCAAGCAGAGTTGCGACGTAAATTGCAGCTTTACCACTCAGCCCCACGTGATAACACTTGTATCCGCCTCTGGTATAACCCGAATCAGCTGTCAAGGTATGATACACGAAATTGGAACAGAAATCGCATGCTTGATGCAGCGTTGGGACGCACACAGGTCAACCGGCACAAGTCCTCATCGTGGCGGTAGGCGCGGTCGAGGGACCTCGGCTTCACGGGATCAGGTGGATTCGGAACAGGGGAGCCGGGCTGGCGAGGATCCGGCGGGTGCGGTACGATGGAGGTGGTCTGAACACCGACCTAGGGTGTTTTATGGGGGAGCACGGCTGACGGAGAGCGGGTGGGTTTCGTATGAGGAAGATGGGTTGGCGACGGCCATGTGAGTGTTTGTGGCGGAAGCTGGGTTCGCAGAAAGCAGATGGGTGGTCCTGCAGAGAGCTCGGCTGAGGGGAAAGCCAATGGGCGTTATGACGGAGTTGGGCTGGCGGGGAACGGATGGGCGTCTCTGGAGGGAGCTGGGCTGGCGACGAACGTGTTACATGGATAACAGTGAATTGCTGGCCGGGCTGGTGACAGATAACTCTCTGTGGGCTGGTCTTCTTTCCTGGAAACTCTGCTTCTTGCAGCTCGATCAGTGAGGACCACCAAATCCTTCCAGCGTCTGTGTTGCTCAGTAGTCCTGTCCAGCACCTGTGAAAATAAAACGTATGTTGACTTTATCACAACTGAATACATAGGAGTGCTGACAGCGGAGTGGACAAACCGAACACGTCTGAAAAGTTCAGGGATACGGGATTCGATTCGATCGTTCGCAGTGTCCGCCCTTCCTCTCGGGGTAAAAAGCAAGCGACGCCAAATGCCCTCGACACCTGAGTGAGCCGTAGAGTCGCAGCCGTAGTCCAGCCGTAGACTACTAAATACAAGCACCACCGAGCGCATAACTGCGAACCAATTTCGCAATGGACGAACGAAGATGACAGGGTATGGGAAGGAATGATCACAGCAGTGGATACGAGGTCAAGAACATAAGGCGTTGCCATCGTAAAATACATTCCTCGACCTAATGCTTGCAGCTCATTCCTTTGCTTGCATCGTCACCGTACAGGGAACATAGGTGCAGAATCGTGTCCGATATACTGCACATGACGGTGTTTCACCACATCTGATAGCAATACTCATACTTTGATGTCACTCAAACTCTGATAGTGGCACTCATATTCTGATAGCGATACTCGTACTATGATATTAATACTCATACTCGATAGCATACTCCGACACCACACTCAACATTGAAACATGTCCACAGACTGAACGAAAAACGTGGATGGTAGGATATGCAAGCTAATCCTGGCATATGTATCTCAGAAGTCGCGGAATTAAAATCCACCCCAACGCCGAGTTATAGTTTTCCAACTCATCATAGGCATATGATTGTGCAAGGGGTTTCTACAACAAGACTTGCCCGGTTTACAAGGGCATCCGAGGGTAATTCGAATTAAGATCGGAACGGATCATACGACGTTAACCCTCTCGCCGAGGTGAGTTTACATGGGCGAAACGGCTTTACGTCGGATTAAGGGTCGATAGTTCGATCCCACTTATTTCGAATCAAGGAACGAATTATGGGCAAAAACTGCGCTTTTGCGGCGAACTGGAAAAATCCGGTACTCTGCGTATGGATGGCGAATGTCACGAGCCATGGTGGGCACGAGACGGCCTTGAGGGCGAGAGGAAGATGGGCTCCGTTGGAAAAACGATCTATACGGGACTCAAGTCTTTAGCCACAAGCACAAGCCGTAGCACTTGAAACACAAAAAGTTGCGTAGTCAGCACTGCCAAATCTGTTCCACAGGTAGTGTTATATAAACAATTCTAGCGGACCGGAGACGTGTGAACATTGTACATTGCAAGGAGCACGATCACAGAAATTTGCACAAAACAGGAAAAACTGATTTACAGATATTCCCAGCATATCTTTCTGCTAGAATCAGCTTCTTTGATCACATGTATTTATCAGAATGACAAGGAAGCGAATTGGAAAATAAAACTGAGCTGCTTCATGGCAATGATAGAGATGACGTTAAAGTAACATGTGTTAGACCATCAATACATGACAATAGCTCCAAAAAGTGCAAGCAAGGCTACTGCTTCCCATTCTGCAATGTAGATCATGGCTTGCTGTTTTGGCTGACATTATTTAGGATGACATTTAATATACGCCTGGAGCCCGTGACACCTGAATATTTGGTGCTATGCAGTGGCTAGCAGGAAATCCGTATTTTCTTGTATTAGCCAATGACACTCACAAAAATAACCACACACTCTGATCAGATAGGCCACCCAGCATCATGTCATCTACTTTGCGCAGCCCCAAGAAACACAATACCTACTCCCACACTAATGCATTTATGAGCAGCTTGCGACAGAGGAGCTAAGCTACAGAAATGACTCATGAATGCTAACATCGCGGCAAAAACTGTGCAATTATGGTCTTTCCCTATCGAATGCAGTATCAGTACCTGAGGGCAGCATTACCATTCAGACTTGGCGTGGACTGGCAAGTCAGAATGCAGTTATTTGCTTTCTTGACATGCTAGGGTTGAAATACTGCTTTGATATCCCTGCCGTCAACAGCATTGGCTGATATGGACTGATGGCTTGATGACACAAAACAGCTGTGTTTGCATAGTCCAAAGATCATAAAATGTGAACAGCCCGAGAGCTGTTGTCATGATAAAAGCACATCACACAAAGGTCACAACAAATTATTCATTATAACAACATTTGAATTACCACTTCATGGTTTG